GTTCATGTGGGTGATAAGTGGGAATGCATCCTCCACGACCTATCGATCTGCCTTTGATAGTGTTGTGGAGAACAACCCTCCACCAGACACACGCGTGCTTTGCAACATGGGCCGTGTTACGGACCGACCTGGTTGAGGGACGACCAAGGAGTGTTTGCAATGCAAGGGAAACATGAGTCATATTGCAAACTCGGGAGCAACATGGGCCATGTTGCAACCCAAGCGCAACAAGGGCCATGCTGCAAATATGGGTCGCAAGCCATGTTGCAACGCGAGCGCATTATGGATGGTGTTGCCAACCCTAGGCACAACATGGATCATGTTGCAGACGATGGTATGCAACTAAGGCACGCTGCGGCGCGAGTGCAACATGGGTCATGTTGCAAACCCCGAGTACAACATGAACCATGTCGCAAATGATGGGTTGCAACTATGGCATGTTGCAATGTGAGTAAAACATGGGCCATGCTGCAAACCCCCGAGCACAGCATGAATGGCGACTAGTGCTATTACGACGGTGTCGTAGGTGTTGCAATATTGTTGCGAAGTGGGGGGCACACGAGGGATTTTACGGCTAGGCTACTGGCTGGAAGGGGTATGCGAGAGGCAAAGGCAATGTTGAGACTTGCTGCTACATGTGGTGAAAGTGATGTGTATGAAAGGGATTTGTGTGGGCCAAGGCATCACAAGGGATTCATTGCACGTCACATGCCCAAGCTAGGAAAACATTGTACGGTTGGCCAAGCCTCGTTGCGCGGCTCCCAAGGCGGCTGAAAACTCGCAAACATCAACCTCGTGTCGCTTAATGCTGCTTTAGAGGAGGTCATGAAAATAGTATCCGTTCAATCCATCTCGTGTGTTATGTGTTTTGCCCTAGTGTGAGTTGTTTGCATCCTAGAGAAACAACAAGTGGACATCGAAAGGTATTACAAAAGACACATACAATGAATGTTTAAAACTCTTTTTTTGATAAAGGGCGCTTTTATTATCTTGAAATGTAGCATCAAGCGGATACAAAGCATTATGAATAACACCCGGCCTCTTCATAACTAGGACCCACACAGCCAAACACGTAAAGTCTAACAAAATAAAAGGAAAAAAATGACAAATCGATGACAGTAGAGTCCTATAGACCGACACCATGCCTATGCCGTAAGGGATGGTGGACCGATTCAGAGATTATGCTGCCACCCATGTTGGGTAAAAACCACCGTAGCCACCTGCTCCAACTGCGTACACACCATATTGAACAGCGGTTGGTACTCCGCTCGTTGTAGCGTAGACCACGTACGAAGCAAGTGCGTACAACGGAAAATAACCTGCAAAGGAAAAGCATTTTTATCATTGAAAACCAAATCATTTCTACATAGCCAAAGCGACCATAGTAAGGCGTATGCTCCCACCTGTATTAGCGTTTTCAATCTATTTGGAATACCGTCCAATCAATGACCAAAAATATTGGCGACACTTGTGGGCGGATACAAATTTGACGCTATTTGGATGATTGACCACATAGAACATGCAAACTTGCATTGGAAAAACAGGTGTTTGATTGTTTCTTCATGAGTACAAAAACAACACTTCTTACTCCCTGGCCAGTTGCGTCGTGCGAGATTGTTTTTGGTTAGAACAACTCCTCTGCGAAGATAACACATGAAGATTTTAACTTTTAGTGGAATCTTCGACTTCCAGATTTTCTTGTTATTACTCACCGGTACCTCGGAATGCATGAGTGCACAATACATAGAGTCTACTGTGAATGACCCTGATGGAGTAAGGTTCTAGCGAAACACATCTCGGCCTTGTCTAAGATTAATCGAATCCAGACGGGATAAAAGATTGTGCCATGAAACAAGTCGGAGGCCAATCAAATCTCGCCTAAACGAAATGTTGGGTGGGGATGAACTGAGCACTTGCGCAATAGTATTATTCTTTTCGCGAGCAATGTTGTACAGGGCTGGATATTGTTCTCGAAGACTGGCATTGTCTAGCCAAATGTCTTGCCAGAAACGAACCTTCGACCCGTCCCTTATCGCGAAAGACCCAAAGCGAAAGAGATGTTTCTTTGCCTCCATTAGGCCAGTCCAAAAGTGCGAGTCGCCAGGTGTCCAATATGTCTGAGACACCATCTTTTGGCCTAGATACTTGTTACGCATCATGGTTTGCCAAATACCATCCTTAGTAAGAAGTTTAAACAACCATTTACTAAGTAGGGCCTCATTCTTGATTTGCAAGTCATGAATTCCCAGGCCACCTTGGTCTTCCGGCCTACAAACCACACTGCATTTGGCCAGTCTGTATTTTTTCTTTTCACCATCTCCTTGCCTAAAGAATCTGGATCTAAAATAGTCCAGTTTTTGCAGGACCCCTTTTGGGAGTTGGACGAAAGAAAGCATATAGAGAACCATATTTGTGAGAACGTAGTTAATTAAAATCAGCCGTCCTCCAACTAAGAGCAATTTGCCTTTCCAACTGCTCAATCATTTCTCTAATTAGAATGTTTAAAACTCTAAATCCAATGTTGAGAAATGATTATTTAATAATACTTGTACCATGTTATAACACCATTGAATTCTTAAAAGAAACATTTACCGTGTCATGTGCGTCAGCGTGCCTGTGTATTTTTGTGGTGCTGTCTTCAACGCCCCAATGACACAACAAGGCATTGATTTTTTTTTCTGAAGATACAATTCAATGATTTGTCTATGCGTTTTTCTCACTTACTAAGGGGTGTTTGTTTTCAGGGATTTTTTGGTATAAGGACTAGAAAAAGTCCTTCTTAGAGACTTTTTAACCAAACAGGCGGGACAACTAGGGACTAAAAGTTACTTTTTGGGACTAAATAAAGAAGACTCTCAAGGAGAGTCTTTTTTGGGACTTTTTCAACAATGCCCCTCCCTGCACCCATTGCCCCGCCGCCCCATGGTGTTGTTTGCTTGTTATTTTTCTATATATTTGGGGTAACATGGTCATTTAATAACCTTTAGGGAAGGACTAGGGACTTTTTAGTTCCTAGAAACAAATAGGGAGGAACTTTTTAAAGACTAGAGACTTTTTAGTTGGAACTAGAAAAAATCCTAAGACTTATGAACCAAACAGGGCCTAATTTGTTTGTGGATACTCTCGTGATCTTCTGTTCTTGACGGTCCCATCATCTTGACCTTGCCTGGACGGTGACTCATGCTTTCATAGCCGATACGCATGATGGCACTCCTACATTAGTTACACCCAGCTATGTGTGAAGCAACACAAACCCAGTTAATAGATGCTGGATAGTAGGGCATCTTCAACACCGATCCGCAAACCTTTCACAATCGCCGAGACTATGGAAACCATCCACGCGGTCCTGTATTGGTCCGCGGCACGGTCCGAACGTGGTTTCTCCCGCAAACCGGAGAGAAAAGTGGGGGAAGTTTGCGGAAGTCCGGACTGATCCCAAGCCCGCTTCTGACCGTCCTGGCCCACCAAAAAACCATGCCCCTCCTGCGCATCTTTGGTTAGCAGCCGCATTCATGCCTGGCCAGAGCGTACGCGACCATTCACTGGCGTCCGCATGGAAGCGGCGCGCCGGACGAGAGAGCGCCGTCCGCACCGCTTCCCGTGCAGGTGACTGCCATGCGATCAAACGACACGACGGTCGCCCGTTCGTCCGTCTGCCGCCCGCATTGATGGCACGCAGTTGCCGAGGCAATCTTCCCGGGCGCCACCAATCCGTCCCTCTGTCGCCCACCGGTGCTATATAAACCGTTGCCCCAGTGCCCCGGCTATAGCCATGGTCATCTCTCTCCACATCACTGCCTGCCATGGACCCCTTCGCCGCCAAAGCTCTCTGGAGCGGGTTGATGGTGGAGCAGAAGAAGGCCATGGCCGCCATTGCTGCCGACTGGCAGGCCGACATGCAGCAGGAGGACGCCTCCGACAACACGCCAATGCCACCCTCCTCTTCCTCTGCGGCACCCTCCTCCTGCGCTCCACCCTTGCCGGTGCATTGCACCATGACCATCTGCGAGCCTCGTGCCCATTATATGGACATGGTGCGGGGGGAGTGGTTCTGGGAGGCGCATGCAGCAAGAAGCGCTGCTCGAGTCCTCCCGCTCCGCCCACGAGATCCCCCTCACCCGCTGGCGGTACCGGGTGGCGGAAGTGGCGGCCGTCGGCAAGGAATGCGACGATGAGGCGGGTGAGGTGTTGTTCGGCGACGCCGACGAGGAGGACATCACCGAGGCCGCGCCCCGGCGCCACGACCACGAAGAAGCCGGCACGTTCACGGGCGCCGCCGGCATTGAGGAAGAGTAGTGCACGGTAGGTCACCACCGCTCCTGTCCCACGAAGGGCACCACTCCTCCCCTCCCGTCGACGCCAAGCTTGGTGGGCTGAGCATCTTCGACCGATTAGTCGCTTGTCAGCAACGTCGAGGCGGACAACTTCAGTTCCTGGGCTCCGGAGGTGAAGCTGGAGAGCACCGAGGCGGAACTGGAGACGGTGAAACTTCAGTTCTCGGGGCTGATGTCTGAAGACGGGGACCGGACGTCGGCGATCAATTAGATTAGGTATTAGTTATACTTCAGAGCCCGCCTAGGACTGCTTTGATATATTTGTAATGAAATATGTCATGTTTATATGAAATGAAATCCGGCTGTGTTTGTATGAATTCCAGATTTGTTTCAACAAATTTCGTCCGGTGGTTCGAGTTGTTGTGAAAATGTATACGGCTACTGTTGGATGGCCGCCTCCCGCATTCGTGTGCGCGGACTGGTCATCCTGTCCGCGGATAGATGCGGGAGAATTTTTCGGGTTGCTGTTGGAGATACCCTTATCTTATTGTTGTTTATTATAAAAACTCTTTTTCGGCACTCATCCGTTAATTTTGCATTTCTATTTGCATGAAAGTGTTACGAGTTTGCAAGGGTGGTACTGACCCGATGTGTAAGTTTAAGTACTCAAACTTATGAGTGCAGCACCGAAATAACTGTGTGCAGCCAACTTTGTTTAATTACCAGGTACTTCATTATAATTGATGACTTATGGGATACATCAGTATGGGATGTTGCAGCCCACGCTTTCCCGAAGGGTAATCATGGCAGCCGGATAATAGCAACAACGGAAATTGAGGATGTAGCTCTTGCATGCTGTAGTTATCAGTCCAAGTACATGGTTAAGATGGAACCTCTTAGCGAGAGTCACTCGAAAGAGTTGTTCACAAGTGCAGTGTTTGGCTCTGGAGAACAACATTCTTGCCACGTAAATGAAGTGCCAGACGAGATTATAAGAAGATGTGCTGGTTTACCACAGGCAATTATCAGCATATCCAGTATCCTAGCAAGCTATGGGGAAGCCAATACAGTAGAGAACTGGGAGCAAATACAAAACTGTTTGCCAACAAATACAACTTCTGATGAGATACTGAAAGAAGTACTGATTTTTTGCTACAAAAGTCTTCCCAGTTGTGCTCAGACATGTCTGTTGTATCTTAGTATGTACCCGGAGAATTACTTAATCTTGAAGGAAGATATAATGAAGCAATGGGTGGCCGAAGGTTTCATCCGTGCGCCAACAGAGAAAGAAAAAATGGAAGTTGCTGGGAGCTATTTTGATATGCTTGTTAATATGGGCATGATCCAACATATAGACATAGACTATAGCGATGAGGTTTTGTACTATGCGGTGCATCACATGGTACATGATATTATTACATCTAAGTCCATAGAAGAGAATTTTGTCACTGTAATAGATTATTCTCAAAGGACGGTACGGTTTTCTAACAAGGTTAGTCGTCTGTCCCTCCAGTTCGGCGGTGCAACATATGCAACTACACCAGCACGTATTGGACAGTCGCAAGTACGATCTCTTGCTTATAATGGACTGGTGAGCTGCTTGCCTTCCATATCAGAGTTTAAGCTTCTTCGATTTCTGATCCTCCATATTTGGGCTGATCAACCAAGCACAGGCGTAAACCTCAGGCGTATCTCTGAATTGCTTCTGTTGAGATATTTGCAAGTCACATGCAATGACACCGTACAGCTGCCAGATCAGTTGCAGGGTTTAAAACTGTTGGAAACACTTGAAATAAATGCAAGAGTAGCAGCTATTCCATCGGATATTGTTCATCTTCAGAGCTTGTTGCACCTCCGTCTCGGAGGTGGGACAGAACTCCCCGATGTGACTGGCATCCTAAAAAGTGTCACCCTGAATCCTCCTCCTAGTTCTTCGGGCAGGACAATTTCATTGGATGGCTCGGGCAGTCCTCCTGAGTCAGTGAAGACAATCGAGTTGCTGCCTCCCATTTGTAGAATCCCCAAGTGGATTGGAAGGCTTACCAAACTCTGCGTTCTGAAAATTGTTGTGAGAGAATTGCTAATGGATGACATCAGTAACCTTCAGGGATTGTCAGCCCTCACTGTTCTTGCGTTGTACGTCCAGCAACGAACTACAGAACAAATCAGCTTTGCAACGGGAGCACTCGCTGCTCTAGAGTATTTTGAGTTCGGGTGTGGTGTATTACACCTGTCTTTTGCGGAAGGAGCAATGCCCAATCTTCAGAGGATGAAGCTAGGTTTCAATGCCCACAGAGGAGATCAGTATGGTTGTTTGCTTTTCGGCATTGAGCACCTGTCAAACGTCCAGGAGATTGTTGGAGTAATTGGGTCAACTGCTGGTGCCGAGGAACATGACTTGCAGGCTGCAGAGTCTGCATTCAAGATCGCCATTGGTGAGCATCCTAGTAATGTCAGCTTAAAAGCATCATACGTTGTTGAGGAGTATGGCCCTCTAGAAAAACAGCATTCGGTCCGAGGGAAGGACCCGTCCACATCAAGTGAACTATCTGGAAGTCAAAAACAAGAGTCTGAGGAAGCTATAAAGCAAAAGGCCGATAACAACTCCCAGTCAATTAACTGGTACGGTTTCTAATCCCGACTCAGCCCATTACACGCCGGCAGCATTATTAGCACAACGGCAGACAAATTAATGATTAAAGTCATCGACAACCTGAACTAACCTCTTGCACTTCTTGAATCACATCTCTGCTGTGTGACACAATAATACCTACAAAGGGTTCATAAAAACTTCCACTTCTTTTTGTAAATTATTGTGTTTTCATAATGAACTTGTTTTGACTAGTAATCGAGGTCATGGAGAAGAACACTTAAAAAATGTCAGGAACCTTTAGTATTTATTTGAGCCGTAAACGTATAAAAAATGAATTTTCTTCAGCAAAAGTTTGACTTTGTTTCTTCCAGGAGAAGTCACAACAAGGAACATGAAAGCGTGGAGTCATGGAATGACACGCAGTCGTCAATGCAGAAGGTGTGATCCCTAATGTCATAAGTTTAATTTCTTCCAAATAAATTTGCGACTTGTTTTATGTTTAATCATGAAATATTCTTTCCTTTTGAATCAGAATCATAAAAAGTAAGACCGTCTAAAACTTAACTCTTCAAATGTTGAGGAGTTAAAGGTTTTTGCACCTTGCCCTTCCCCATATTCTTAACGCCTCAAATGCTCAAATCAGCACAAATATTCATTTCAAACACAAATTGATCAATGGGGCGGGGAGGGGGGTTTTGGCTTCCGGGAGCATTTGCTCCGGGATGAACAGTACCACAAAAAAGTGGTAAAATAGTTTCAAATAACACCGAAATTTTTGTGGATGTTTGTGTTAGTTTCGCAAGCATGCTTGACAATTTTCATGCGAAACGGAGCAGTAGTGTTACGTCGGTGGAAAAAATATTTGGGTGACATTTTGGGGTAACATTTGGTTTTCAATTTTTTTTCCATAGGCAAAATATTTAACCCTTTTCCCTAAAAATTTACAAGTAACATTTGGATGCGACTATAAGCACATAAAAAAATTGTTGGGATTTCTTTCATATTTGAAAATTATTTTTTGCACGCACTCCTGGGAGCCAATTTGGATTTCCAAATCGTAATTATGTAATGCTACCACATTAAACATAAATGTACCTTAATTATACAATGCTACAACACTAAACATAAAATTGCCTAATTATACAATACTCCCACTAGATTAGAGCTAAAATTTCTCCTTGTTGGGGGAGAGCTCCTTGAATGCCACCTTGCCGGAGTCCGAGGCTTAGTGGGCGGCCATGTCAATCCACAACATTGCCTCCTTGTCAGCCGTGTCGGAATCATCGTGCCCCATGAACATCATGGACCGGCCCCTCTCCATCGTCGCAAGGTCGCCACACTATTAGGGAAAAGCCTAGTAGTAGGGCGGGTTATTGGCCTATCAGTAGCGCGGGTAACCGCGCTACTGATACGGCGCTACAACTAAAGGTTAGCAGTAGCGTTTGTTGACACGCGCTACTGCTATATCTACTTAGTAGTAGCGCGTGCTGCAACAACCGCTACTGGTAATTACTAGTACGCTTCTCACTGCCCGCGCTACTACTATTATTCCGTATTCTACTTCTTTTAATTTTAGTTCGTATTCATACACCCTTATACAAATTTTCATACAGTAGCAATTTAAAGATTGTTTTTACATTATAATGAGTTACTAAATCACTAGGTGAAAGAATTGCGGATTAGTTTCCAGTGGATGGATCCTAAGTGACCAAGTCATGGATTATCACGATAATCCATGACTTGATAACCTAGGATCCATACACTTGAAACTAATTCGCGGTTCTTTCACCCAATTATATAATAACCCATCATCATCATCATCATCATCATATTAATATAAAAACTCTTAAATCATATCATCACCAACAACACTAGCTAATAATCATCATAGTTATTACCACCAACACTATTTAATCATCATAGTCATAGTGCAACTATCTAATCACCACCAACACTAATTAATAATAATCATCATGGTCATCACCACCAACACTCATTCTAGCTAGCTAATCACTCATGCTGCTCTCTCTCAGGTAAAAGAGCATAGAACATGTGTAGCACTCCTGATTCATCATATTAGAGCATGCAGATGATCATGTCTCCTAATTGTGGGTTGTGCTTCTAATTGCTGCCCCCTGGTACTTCTCTGCGATCCTTCACAATTTTGCTCTAGTCTTAGACTATTAAGACTTGCTCGCTTTTAGAAATCCTAAATGCACTCATGTGCAATGTAGGATGTCCTGACCGTAAGCTAACCATGGACATGCGACCTTTAGCCTCGATCCACTGAGGCACAACTATCATCGGGAGTCCATGTTGAAGAACGTCGTAGTAACATACATTCTAAATAGATGTGACCGTAGTTCAGTACGAAGACAAATAGTAAAAATCTTACCACCTTTTCTAAATAGATGTGACCGTAGTTCAGTACGAACACTATTGGTCGCACGTTTTGAGTACTAAGATTTTTAAGTTCAGGAAAATAATTTATCTTGACAGTATGAAGATTTTCAAGCCATGAGACATAATAACTTATGTCCTCGCAGTTTAGTTCAGCCCCGGGATAGTAGTAGGTCATGTCTACCAAGCGCCGGATATGTTTGCTGAAATGGAAATAAGCTGTCAATAGAAATTAGTTGTCAACTATTTTTGAATAAACTATATCCAAGACATAAATATGATTGAGAAACACACATAATGGTAGAACTGGAGGCGTCTGCACATCGACCCAGGTGTCGATATTACCTTCGATATCATCTTCCGGACAAATATCAAAGGAGATAAGCATATCAGGCTCAAATGCATAAGCCTTGCATAGTGCTCTCCATTTTTTGCACTCAAAATGGGTGTAGGTGTCTGAATTGTATAATTTTGCGACAAAAGTATAACCATGCTCGGTCCTCAAGTGTACTCTTTTTACCTCCATAGTTTTCATAGTACCGAAACCAACCTTATCCAAGACATAAATTCTTGCATGGCAGGGGATACGCTAGTAGAATAGTAAAAAATTAAAATTATAAGTTGAAGCAAAAGAAGCAAACGTCATGCTTAATTACGAAAAAAGACTTGTCGTTGTGACTTACTGTATCCACTTCGAAGGTGTCATCCAGCTTGATGCTGAAGCGCCTACCACCAACTATGTGAGGACTGTCGCACAGGCCGCACTCGTCTTCGCAGTATTCGCACATACCGAATCTTTTTCATCATCAGACGTTTCCTGCGTTCATAGTTGAAACATTAATTAAAAATCGACCGAAGGCAACTGCCAGGAAACTCAACACATAGATCACTATTACTCAATATGCAACGGGTTGACTTTAGATCTGTCGAGTCTTCCTTCCTAAAGTATCATCTCACGTATATGGTGGGCACTCCCTCTCTGATATTGTGACCGTCGGTGATGGTCGCTACTCCTCGTTTCCCTAGTGCATTACAAATATCTAGCACAAGGAAAAGAAGGAGAAGCGACCCCCACGACAACAGTCGGCATTCTTCTTCTCTCATATACGGTGGACACTCCCTCACCGAATTTTCGACCGTCGATGATGGTCGCTACTCCTTCTTCCCCTAGTGCATAACAAAGGTCTAGCACAAAGAGAAGAAGGAGAAGCGACCCCCACGACTACAGTCGGCATTCTTCTTCTCTCATATATGGTGTAGACTCTCCCTCATCGATCTTTTGACTATCATGTATGGAGCCCCGACAGACTTAAAGCCAACTCAAAAAATGTCGCTTAATTCTCTTTCTAGCAAATCCGGGGCACTCGATATTTCCTCCATATTCTAGCAAAAGTCATGCTTAAATTCACGAAAAAATCCGGCATGACCTTTGCTAAAATAGGACATATCGAGAGCCTAAAATTTGTTGGAATGGAAATGAATCAACACTCCGGCAAAACATAGGTCACTCGGATTTTCCCTGCGATACAAAGATGTCCATCCACATAAAACGATGCTTAACTGGCAATTCCATCCGGATCAATTATCATAAGCATTCACACATGAGCTCACCGACTCAAAATCATAGTTCTACTCTATTCAACATGCCGAGGATTAGAGAAGGAGGAGATGGACTTTTAGCTCACCGACTCGGGTGTAGAGGAAGTAGCTAGAGGTAGCCCCGATGATGATTACTCCAAGGAGACACGACTCTACAAAGCCTGCATATTCCACCGAGTGAAAAAATTTAGATCATCAAATCTCATATAGCAGATGACAAAGTGATAATGATATAAAAATAATTAAATTTTCCAATACATTACTATATTGAAAAACAAAATTACAAAAAATTTCTATACCTATTCACTAGTTTTCTATCCTTTTCAAAAAACTATTTTATATTCAAAAAACTATTCCCTAGTTTTCTATTACTAAAATTTTCTAGTTCTAGCCCTAACAAACTATGTCTAAATCATCCTAGTTCTAGCCCTAACATTTAGTAAAAATACCTTAGTGAAACCCTAAATTATCTTATATAAACCTAACATAACAAAATTAAGCACTTACTAAATAAACTACTTCTATTAAGTACTTACTAAATATCACTTACTAAATAAACTAAATTAAGCACATACTAAAAACAGTAAATAAACTACATTATCAGTGAGGAGAGATGGAGGGAGGAGGGACGAGG